ATCAAACTGGATATCATTAGTAGCAGCACTAGATGCAATGGGAGAGGGGGAGGTTGCTGATAACATTAGAATGAAGTATGAACTATTATAACATACGGTACATGCACCGTCTATATCACTACATTTTGTGATTGTTTTGAGATTAATATGTCTTGTGCCCAAAAAGGGTATTTGTCCAATAATTAAAATCCAATTTGCATCAAATTGCTTTTGCTCCAAATTTTTACTAATATTTTGACACCTCAAAATGAAGTCTTGCCTTTTCTTCTACTTACAACCTTTTAGTCTCACCCCGCCCCTTCAGGGCGTGGCGAGACTAACAACCTTTTAAAAGCATGCATGTGTACATTAACTTTTTCTCATAGTCTAGCACTTTTTAATTTAATTTTATGATGGTGTAAGAATGTTGTCCATTTCAGTTTTGAGTTCACTTTTATGAAAGACAAATGACAGCAATTGGTAGTCCTACAGCAGTGCCTAACTTTAGATGATTAAAAACCTCAATCAGTTGGCAAAAAGGTTCTTCAATGAGTAATGCTTCTCATAATTTCATATTTTGTGCCTTCTCGATATAACCTTGCTTGTTATAAATTTTTTGAGGACTGAGATGACACATTAAACTTTAGCAAATATGATACCATACTACATAAGGTCTCGCATGTTCACAGCTCTACTGATAATGCCATTATAAAAGCTGCATGGGTAGTGTTGTCATTTAATTTTAAGAAAAAAGTAATGGTACTAAAGAGAAAACGATAGGAAAAGAAGCACAATCTAGAGCTAATAATAAGCACAACAGTAATAGTATTTAATGTTAATTTAAAGCAGAAACACACACACTGCAGTATCAGGAAGAAGAAACAGTAACTGGTGATAGCACATCTTTGAGGAAAGTAGACGGACTTTGAATAACATTAAGCAAACCTGTAGAACCATGAAAACATAAAAATGGCAAGAAAAAGTGAAGAAAAGCAAAGCCATGAATAGAAAGGAAGTTGAAGAGAGGAGCAATAAGAGAAGTACATACTCACCCATTACATCACAATATTCCTCAAACGATTCAGCTGGTAACAATTCATCTTGATACTTGGACAATATCTAATTAATATAATAATAATTATTATGTAATATAATGTCAATTACCTTGTCACAATCCTCATTAACAGTTTTATCATTATTTCTTATATATTCTAAAACAGCTTGAGGTAATTCACTGCCACTCACAGGAACTGATTTCTATTTAAAAAATACAGAACGGAGAAATTGTAATAAAGATCCATTTTAATTAAAACTTTACATATAAAAGCATATACATGCATATTTTTCTCTTTCTCTTGTGTTACAGTACATGTACCTTCAATAATTTCTGTATGGAATCAATAAGACCAAAATAAACTAAAACTGGTTTATACTCATTGTATGGCAGTGCATCTCCTGATGGTAAACTAAAAATAGAAAAAAAAATTACATCATCACATTATACTATAATTAATTGGGCAAAGCCCATACTAATTGGATGAATAATTGGGCAAAGCCCACTAATTAGACGAAGCCCACTAAGACAAGAGTGAGTCTGTACGGAAGTAGGATGTTCGTCTAACTATTATTAAAGTTAAATAATCTTCATTAAAAGTGGGTGTGGTCACAATGAAAAAATGGCGCCTAGGCCTATCAGCAAGTATGTGCTCATTTGCAGCAAGAAAAGACTAAACTGCTATCCAAAAGCTTCTCTAGCTACAAGGAAGGTCATACCGCACAACAATAGCGTGGCTCGGGGGCTGAGCCCCTTTAAATGTTTTACATTCTTCTAGTTATTATAATAATATGTTTATACTTTTTTATTGGAGATGAGCTTGCTTTCCTAGCATGAGATAGAACCAATAGTTGCCTCAATAGCAAATCCTTGCTTTCTTCCCATTGAGTCAATGAATGTATGAATAATGATAGTATACAGGAATACAATGGACCTTCAACCTGAGGGAGGAGAGAGGGGGAGGAGAAAAAAAAGTAAATTATTGAATTAATAAAGAAAGGGGGAGGGTATAGAAAGGATGAAGAAAAAAGAGATACCGTATAGCAGGAAATTTTGAAGGAAGTAAAATTTGGTGAATTGCTAAATTTTGGGTGATTGGCAGATTTTAATTTTGTCGAATTGCTATCAAAAGGCCAATTTGTCAAATTTAATTCCCTCTAACATTTCCTGCTATACAGTATAATAAAGACAGAGAGAGACACATAGAGAAGGCATAAGAAGAGGAGTTAGAGTGACAGATCAAGTAGTGAAAAGGTTTCATACCACATAAGCAGATGGTACCCAGTTATCAGAAGTCATTGCCAGAGCATTACTCAAATTCTTCTCTTCTCTCTGAAATACTCTCGTTCTAAAAATAGCCACAAAATACCAGTGTTACTATAAATAGCCACACTAACGTATCAAGCACATAAAGTGCTACGTGAATGAAGTAAGGAATCAAGTGAAGGTTACTCTGGGGGCCCCCACCACCGGACTCAGCACTGAAGGAGTTCTCATGAGCAAAACGAAGTAAGAGGAGCCTCAGATCATGAGCATAGGAACGGAAAGAAGGATCATACAGTCCAGTACAGGCTTGAAGGTAGCTGTTATGACTAATAGGAGAATGAAATAATAAATAAACAGTAGTTAAAATTAAAACTTATAGTATCAAATTTTGAACAAATTTCAAAATTCATAAAAAATCTAATTTTTAACTGAATCAGCTCAAACTCTCTATGCAAACATGTATATGTATGAGAAAAATTATAAAAGTGGCAAATTCTCTCCTAGCCAATTTTTGACAAAATTTAGCTGAAAACCAAGTACATGTACTATAGTAGTTTGAAGCCACAAATTTTAAAAGTTACATGTACATGTAGTCGGGACATCTTAAAATTTGTATCTCTCTCTCTTTCTCAATGATTACTTACTTAGCTAGTCCAGATGCAAATGCAGAGTCAGATACTTTAGGTCCCCATATTGGTAAGAGACCATTGCACCTTGTATTAGCATTCTGTAGAGTAGCACTCTCCCATTCATCTCTACCTCTAGCCAACCTAAACAACAACAACAACAACAAAACAATAACAATAATAATAATAATAATAATAATACTTACTTGATGGCAGCTGCATGACACTCGTAATGAACAACATTGAAATGAGACACAGTAGCATAACCCTAAACAACAGGAACATTAGTAATACAATTAATGATATGTTTACCATTGTTTTTCTTGGTTTGTTTTCAAATTCATCTAAAGTTACTTTACGAGTGTAAGTATAGATACCTAATATCTAAAAGAATTAATAATAATAATAATAATAATAATAATAATAATAATAACAAATAATAATAATCTCCTTCTCTCTAACTTTTTGTGGTTGGTTACGATATCCTTCCAGACATATACAACAGGAGAGTCCTGTCTCTTCAACTACTTCACTTTCCAGTTCTTTAAAAGCTGTAGGTGTCTCAGCAACCATCTGACCTTTTTCATTAACCTGTGAACAACAACAGCAATAAAGATTGGCCCAAAAACCTAATAAAGTATAGCTCTTAGGGTCAGAACTCTCCAACAACAATACTTGTACAACTACTGTACAATGAAAAGTATGCAATTGATACACATTATTAAGCTGTCATTCAAAAGCTAATTTAATAGTAACATTGCTCAGCAGAAATGAAAATTAAAAAATTAGTGTGTGTGCCTGTGTTTTATTACTTGAAATCCAAGTGCTCCTAGTTCCTTTGCTCTCATTTCCATTGCTTTCTTCTTCTTCTCTGATCTAGTTGCTTTCCTAACCTCTTGAATCTAACCAAGAAAGTACAAGTATATTTACATGTATGTCCATCTTATCCTCTATCTCCATTCCTTTACCTTATTGTCACAGTTACTGTTCTCTCTCAATGCCTCCAGTAGTTTCTCGGCCAGTGTCCCTATGTGGTGTACAGTGGAGGCCACTTGTTCAAGTAAATGGAGTTGAGGTATTACATCCATAACTACCAACTAATAATAAATAATTAAAATAAAAAATAAATAAAATAAATTAATCCATCTATTACTTGTGTGTTAGTGTGATGTTGCGATAGTCCTGTTAGTATCTTCAGTATGTATGGTAGTGATGGGCGTGTCACGTACTCCTCCCACTCAGGGGAATCAAACCGCCCACTCCTTTAATTAAAACGTTAATACATGTACTTGTCTAAATACTCTTACCCTTTTGAAGGTGTCTTGGTGCTGATGTAGTCAATGAGTGATGGAGTTATCTTCATTTCTATCAATAAATCTTTTAATTTCTGACCACTGGCATCCGTCTGGAAAAAAGGATAAAATTATAAATTATAAAATTAATTATTATTAATTATACATACCCCTATGCCAGTAGCTACTGCACTGAAACAATCCAAATAAAGAGAATGTTCCGGAGACTCTTCAGAATCAAATCTGTTAAGATAAAGGACATCAATACAATGTACATGTACATGTATACATACACACCTATATATAAAATTACATATACATGTATATAATTACCTTTCAAAGTTCAAGTAAGGTTCAAAGTGTTCCAGTAATATTTTCATGTTCCAGGGGTCACCAAACGTTAGGAACGGAATAATGTGCATCAGACCCTCTCTCACAGTGAGATTGGATTGCTACAAAAAAATAATAATAATAATAACAATAATAACAACAACAATAATAATAATAATGATCTCCTTCCCTCCTCTTTCTCTTACCACAAAAGGTGATTCAACGTGTCTCAGTAAAGTATGTAATGATGAATCTTCTTTAGACTCAGCTACCATAGCCTGCAACAAACAAACATAACACACTTGCACTAACATAACACAACACACACACTTGCACTAAAGATTAACAGATTAACATGTACATGCCAAATTCTTTAAATGGCCATAACTCAAAATTTTTTAATTAGAATTGGCTGAAACTTTCTACATTAGAATAAGGACATCAATATGTATCAGAAAATGTAATAAAAATTTGGGGTGGTTTCGGAGTCAAATTTTGGAAAAAACCATGGGCTATATAAATTGGCCATTTAAAAAAATGACCATAACTTGAAAAATCTAAGTCGGAATTAGCTCAAACTTTCTACACAGCATAAGGACATCACTATGTACCAGAAAATGTGATAAAATTTTGGGATGATTTCGGGGCCATTTTTCAGAAAAAACCATGGGCTATAGTACAGGGATTTTTTCAAAAATTGGCTGATTCTTAAAAACGACCATAACATGAAAAATCTAAGTCGGAATCAGCTCAAACTTTCTACACAGCATAAGAACATTAATATGTATCAGAAAATGTAATAAAATTGGGGGATGATTTCGGAGCCAAATTTCAGAAAAAGCCATGGGCTTATAGTACAGGGTATTTTTCAAAAATTGGCCATTAAAAAAAAAAACGATCATAATTTGAAAAATTGAAGTCAGAATTAGCTCAAACTTTCTACACAGCATAAGAACACTAATATGTATCAGAAAATGTAATAAAAAATTGGGGTGGTTTCGGAGCCAAATTTCAGAAAAAACCATGGGCTATAGTACAGGCTATTTTTCAAAATTGGCTGTTTTTAAAAAACGACCATAACTTGAAAAATTGAAGTCGGAATTAGCTCAAACTTTCTACACAGCATAAGAACATCAACATGCATCAGAAAATGTAATAAAAAATTGGGGTGGTTTTGGAGCCAAATTTCGGAAAAAACTATGGACTATAGTACAGGGTATTTTTCAAAATTGGCCAAACTCTTTAAATGACCATATATTGAAAATTTCTAATTGGAATCGGCTTAAACTTTTTACATAGCATAAGGACATTGATAAGAATCATAAATTTCCTATTTCTTCTTCTCATTTACTTTGACAAGTATCTTGTCAAATTTTTGAGCAACTTTAGCACAACTATGTTATACTTGGTAATTGCTATACTACTTTATACAATCGTATAAAGTGTTGTATTGTACTAAAAATAGCTGCAAACATGTACTGTACATGTAATTGATATTAAATGTGTCATCGTTGGGTGATACTGAGAGAATATGTATAATTCAACCAGTGACCTAATACAATGATACCAGTATCAGCTTGTATTGACTCATAATATCATAATAACACAATAATAATTAATAATTAATATGAGCTTCGAACAAGCTATAATGTACAAAAATGCATATTAAAGTACTTAAAAGCTAATATGTATTTTGTAGTTACATGTATATGTTGTTTAAGAAGCATTCCAATGCAAAACAATGTAAAGCAAGTACTGCTATAAATGTAGTAGGTTTCTCCATTGTACATGTACATGTACGTAGTATGTATATGTACATACATGTATATGTTCATTCATAAATACATGTACATGTTTCTTCCATTAGGTACATAAGCTAACCTCTTCACTAATAGATCTAACTATCACTCTCTGCTGACTGGATGCCTCTTGCAGTATTGGCTCAGTAACTGACAGTACCTGTTGTGCTACAGTAGCTCCCAGTCCACTGCTCTCAAGCTGCTCGTGCTGCAGTGCAAGATTGAGTATACCCAGTAATATCTTTAATGTATGGAGGCGAGGCTGTATCAAGTATTGCCTGTTAGTCTATGAGGGAGAGAATTGATCATATAGTCAAACCTGCTATTGTGGACAGTCTAAAATAAGGACACCTCTATAATCAAGACAAGTAGTATCAGTCCCAATACAATATAAATGCGTATTAATGAACCTCTGAAATAAGGACACCTCTATAATGAGGACAGCTTTACTGGGTCCCAAGGTGTCCGGAATAGACAGGTTTGACTGTATTACATTACATTATTATTATACTTACTTTGACTTTGACACAGTAGCTGAGTAATTTCAGTCCAGCATGAACGAGACCATGACTTCTTAGGAAATGTTTAGCTTGAGCTAATCTATCATGCACGCAAGTAAAATATTAGAAGTAAATTTAAAGTCTCCTCTTTCATTCCTTACCTTTGCAGTATGGCATCAAGTCTGTTTTCTTTTCCTAGTACAGTAGCCATTTTGTATACTTCTTCTTCGTCGATGTCTTCTCCTTTGCCACTGTCCAGTGTTTCAACCATATCCTCTGTAGCATCACCAAGGAGGCCTGGGAGAGGAGAGGTTTTATTTTAAAGTATTTATTATTTATTAGTTTACCTCTCATCCTATAGACAACCTTCATCCTGTCACCATGCTGTATATAAAATAAATAAATGAAATAATTAAAAGTACAAATGTATACAACAAAATTTATTTAATATAATTTGATAAATAACATTCTTGCACATAATTATATTCTAACAAAGACTTAGTAGTATCTCTGATTTTCTCTTTCTTTCTCCTTACATTTGCTTGTGCACACCATATCTTCTTGTATACTTCCTTCACTGGTAGATCTAGTGATATTATTTTATTACAGACCAGTAGCTCCATCCCAGTATCATCTTCAAGCAGAGCAACCAGCTCACAATCTATAAAAATTAAATTAAATTTTAACATTTAAAAATAATTAGTGAAGATTTAGTTCTTAGCCCACTGTTATATTTACTTTATTCAAGTATAGTAAATTTGTGAAAATTAGTACACATACAATTAAAAGTGAACGTACTTACAGCACATATAAAATTAATGTTTCTCATTAAAGTGGGTGTGGTCCATTCATTCTTTACCTGTACATATTTTATTCTTGACGTCTCTCATTAGAGGTCCTAGTCCAGGGTCTTTAGAGCTGTAAGGGTTCCCTTGCATGCGTCCTTGAAGGAACTCTTCCTGTTGAGGGTCCTTATCCAACTGGAGGTAAAACTCACCAACATCCTCTTCCTCCTATAATGATAAAAATACAAAAAATAATATACCGTATAGCAGGTATATTTCATCTGGAAAAATGTTCGTTCTAAGCAGGATTAGTCCTTTTATTTTTGTTCTGAGCAGCCATTTTGCACACGTGGCATTGAGAAAATGCCTTTTTCGTTTGGAAAATAATCGTTCCACAAGAAACGAGAACGAAAAGAATGAAATTAAACTCTGATGAAATATACCTGCTCTACGGTACATGTACATGTATCTCCTTTCAAATAGTTAATCTTAATTCTTAGACTTTTTGATATAAAGTAGATTTGGCTCTACCTCTTTGGCAATTAAAATTCAAATTGAGCCCTTTCTAAACTTGCTATAAAAAGTACATGCAAATCTCCTCCTCTTAACTCTATTTCTTATACTAAATGTATAGTGGTAATATGCTTACTGGATGTATTATGCTGCTCAATTGTTCAAATACAAATATTGGTGTCACTAGGTCACTCATAGGATAGTTGGACAATATCTCAATACAGACAGCCATCAGTTCTTGTCTCTCCTCCTCCGTTCCTGAGGTAAGAGCTTCTAATAATTGTAATAGCATTGTCTGGGACTCATCTACTCTCTTGGTCCTTTGAATTACCAGCCTGAGAGAGAGGGGGGGGGAAAGAGAAAGAGGGGAGGGAAAAAGAGAATAGTGTAGAAATTACCTTGGGGAAATAAACTTAGCAATTTTTGCATTTTCTGTTAAGTCACAAAATTAAATCATTGAATAATGGGGGCGTGTAGCATGCTAGGAAAATGGCTGCAGGAGACATTTTAATACTCATGTGCAGTTAAGTTAAAATGTACATGTACATGTATATAGACATATATATTACCATTCGTCAACTACTACTATAATTGTACCTTTTCAATGAGAGATATCCATTGAGGACTAATCCCACCAACTGTCCTTTGTATTCATTTTTAATAGACTCAACTTCAAGAAATAATTTTAATAATGCTATAAATAAACAAACAAACAAATAAATAAATAAATAAACAAGTAGATTGTTTACTAGTTAACATCTTCAGTGCATATCCTTGTGAGAGGTCAGAGCTTAATGTGGTCTCCTCCAGTTTACACAAATAACTGATCTCCTAACAACAACAAACAACAACAAATATTTACTTTTATTACTACTATTATTATTATTACTTTAATTATTTTTTGTCATTATTATTAATACCGAATGCAATTATCAGCAATATTACTAGTATTTTTTACTTTTTCTATCAGTCCTCCTATCTGTAACAGCACTCCTCTCTTGGCCAGGTATTTCTTCCAGTATCCATTTTGGTCTTTCATTAGTGCAGTGAATATACCTAAGAATTCCTTTGAGGCTTCACCAGCACTGCCTACCTCATCAAGAAAACTAGAGATAGAGAAAGAGATTTTAAAAGTATGATTTCCCCAAAAAATTGTGGCTTTTAAAATGTGCATAAATCAAGACATATTAATCAAAATCAGTTCAAACTTTCTACATATATACAGTATAAAAATATACACGTGTGTAACTGTAACATGATAATAAGGAGATCAAGATAAATTGGGGGATGGGTGAGTGTTTTGGTTGGCTTCAAAATTAAAGTGTAATTTGTAATAAATAAATGCATTACCTGCTCAGTAAATCCAATGTTTGCCTCCTCCTCACTCCTCCTTTACATAAAGACAGTAACAGACCATACGCCATGGTCCTTGCCGAGCAGCTGCTTCGATTAAATAACATTAACCTCAACCATTTAGTATGCTTTAATAAACTTATGGGCAATGGAGGACCTGCTGAGAGAGAGAGAGGGGGGGCGAGAGGAGAGAGAGAGAGAGGGGAGAGAGAGAGAGAGAGAGAGAGGGGAGAGAGAGAGAGAGAGAGAGAGAGGAGAGAGAGATGTTATCGTCATAAAATATCGCACAATCTTACTCTTGGCTCGAATTGTTTTACTCATCCAAATATTTCCATATTTTTGAGCCAGTTTATTCTCTTTAGTAGCTAACAAAAGCAGATACAATAAATAAATAAATAAATTGTTAAATTACGTTCTATCAGTGCTGTTTCCTTCCATTTCTCAAAAGAAGAGTCTGGATTATTCTTAAGCCATGAACTAACATTAGTATGTATGGCACCACCTCCCTGTAGACTCTGAACGAAGCAAAAATGAGAAGAGAATGATAAAAAAATAAAATAAAAATTAAATTATTAACATACTTCATTGTCTTTAGCTAGGACAGTGATAGAGTGGAGTATCTTAAGGCAAGGCATAGTAACAGCAGCCATGACAACAGGACTGCTGTGAGACCTGGACTTTTTAAACAACCTAACAACTAAAGGAGAGGAAAGAGGTAAATAACTAATAAGTAACAATAAGAATAATAATTAATAATAATAATGTACCATATTTTACCAATTAAACGCACAGGCATTTATTTCTTAGCAGCAAAAAAAATTCGTTGAAAAAAAAATAAAAAAGTGACCCTGAGCGGGAATCAAACCCCTAACTCCAGGCAAGTTATACCAGGCTCTAACTTTTAAGTACTTTGGAGCTATCTAAACAGTGGGGCATTATTTTTGGTAGAAATATGCGTATCTATAGCTATAATATATTAGTGACAGGTGTTTATTTGGACCAGGCGTTTATACAGTAAAATACGGTATTTTAATATTATTATTCTATAATCTACATGTATTTTATTTTATTAAAGAGATAATAATTAGTATACCAGTTTTGAGTCTTTCCTCCCAGCAACTGTCCTCCATAGCAACAGAAGCTGTCAACAATCTCATCTCAGATCTAATGGCAGACGCCTAAAGAACAAAAATAATAATAAAAACCAACCATAAAGTAATAAGAACAAGGATCTATATGTACAGATAGTGTAAATGGTTGCTTGCATCCTCACACAATAATTTGCTATTTTTGATGAAATTTGGCCAGTGATTATGTACTAAGGACTTTGACCTGATTTTGGACCAAACTTTAAAATTCATAATAAATCTAATTTTGATCAGAATCAGCTGAAACTTTCTACAAAACATGTTTATGTATCAAAAAATTATAAAAATGGAGAATTGTCTCTTTTTCTATTTTGGCAAAATTTTTCAAAAAGATTGAGTAAAATTCACTCTGTGTTAATTTGTCAAAGAAGTAATGGAAATACTATCTATAGTTTTTGCAAACCAGATTTATGTTGAATTTTTAATCACTGGTTTATAAAAAGAGATACTCCAATCAAGCATAACAGTAAGTTTTATAAGAGCATCATGTCATTAAGTTCCCAGATCATTGAAAGTATCATTTAGAATATTAATTTTGTATAGATTTTCCAGTTATGACTGATCCATTTGACACTGAACACTGCATCCTGTACTCATTCAATTTAATTAGTTCATACTTTATAGGTAAAAATCATTTTAGTCTACACGCACGTCATTGTGGGTTATATATCTATTATGCAAGGAAGGAAGTGCTTAATCTGACTATGCAAATGTTTCACTATAGAGTCAACATGTCCTCCCCCGTCCAGTTATAGTCATAGGCATCAAAAATGAAGTTTTGTGATCTTAAACATGATCATAACACTGAACAACTTTAACTTGTGGTCCAGAAGTTTAAAGTGAGTTGTGATGATGTTTAGGTTGAAGTGTTTGATGAGATAAAACATTTGGAAAGTTCAATCACTCATTGCATTTCATGTGAGCCTATAGTCTATTTTAGCATTATAGTTTCTTCCTACCAAATGCTCCTTTCCTAGCCTATATGTGTTCACTAGTTAAACTAATTACTTTCTAATTGAGCAGAAAACAAGAAAGTTAAAAGCTGCTCACTATATTAAAAACTCCATCATATAAATTAATGCCTCCTTGACTGCTCACAATAGAGCATTGTCTAATAATGCTCTATTGTGAGCAGTCATGAGGGTATACATTCATTTAGACTGCAATACTGTACTTGTAGGTCATGCTAACAATGCTTTATAGACCAGTTGGCGCTAAGTATAATCGTAAAATTTTAAGTATATTCATCATGATACCGTAAATAAAGTAAATTTTTCCTGCCGCTACTTTGGAGTCCTACTTCCAATGGTTGTCTATGGAGCGATCGTGAAAAGAGCTTATTCTCCAAAAACTGCTGTATTTATTCGTGATAGCAATCTTGCTACTGCTTACTGACCATCATTCAGTGTCTATAGTGGGCTCAAGGACTTTGGTAAGTGCCACTAGAAGATATAGAAGCAAAGACATTGCTTTCTCCCATTCTACTCTTAGCAAACTATGACTCCAAGATGGCGGTAGGAAAATTTTACTTTATTTACGGTATCACAATCAATATACTCAAAATTCTATGAATATACTTAGCGCCAACTGGTCTATACTAATATGACAGTGTAGGGTTAGACATCTAACAAGCTTTCTCTCAAAGCATTCTTACACTATCCGATAGCTGCAGCATCAGAAATATCTTGTACCATAGGAAGCCATAAGATGAAAGGCCACACAGTGGTGTATACCGTATAGTGGGTTTATTTCGAGGATAACAAATTTCGCGAATTTCGTGGATTTTTCAAGATTCGTGAAATTAAATTCCTTGAAAATCAATTTAATATGGTACAAAATGGCAGAATAGTGAAAATTCGTGAAAATTAATTCCGCGAACTTCCGGATACGGGTCATTCACGAAATTTATTATCCTAAAAAAACCCCCACTATACGGTATATGATACATCTCATTGTATCAGGGTTAATCCTCATACACAAGGAAAGAGGGAACCCATGAATTTTGATGCCTTGCTTCAGGACAATGATGTCCTGAAAGGTCCACGGGTAAAAATCAGGAAGAGTCCCTGAAGGATTATCTCCTTTCAAAGTACCTAAAAAGCTGAGCTCATAAACCAGACATTTGTATAAGGCTATGGTGATGTGGGTCTCAGATCTACAGTATGATTCACAATGCCATGAATATCATTAACAATTGTCCTTGTGAAACTAACAAAGTGACCACATCCAATGCTATTCAAAATGGCATCACCGCTTGAAAAGTATTTACATGATTATTGTTATTGCTGCTACTGGATGATTTCTAGCAACCTTATGGCGACATAGTCTTGTATTCAAGTTTGGTCACAGTCACAATGATTGGTTATATTCCTTATTCTGGCCTCATCACTTGTACTTAATGGTTCAATTTAAGATAGAAGAACCAAAGAACCTGGAAGATATATTGGTTTAATATCACATGAAAAATAAAATTATGCTTCTGATATGACTTTATTCTTGATTTTTGAGAGCACTAATTTCATTAATGAACATGTATAAAGGGCTGTCCTTTTAGCCTGTTAATGATGAGGCTACTTTCACCATGCTAGTATTGCCAGCGCAATAAAGATGAGTTTGTTTTATCAACATTATAGTGGTAGAGTACTCTGCTGTAGTTGTGCTGTTTGACAACACATAATACAACTTATACATAGTGCATTAGGTCTTTTCTCTTGTCTCTCTTGAGAACAATAAGTGAATCTGAGGAACATGTTTCCTTCCTCTTTCCTCCTCTTACTGTATAAAAGTAATGAGACCATTTGCAGTAGATAGGACTGGTGAGGAATAAACCTTTCCAGTGTAAAAGAGACAAGATGGTTACAATGTCAGCTATTGACCCGGCCCTAATTATACTGGTCAATATATACTGTGACATGTATCAAACATGGCAAGAGGCCAAAGTCTATAATAACGGTGTCATGCAGGTCAGTGTTTTTGTTTCGGTCAACTACAATGGAGAGGGTGTAAGTGAAGACGAGATAATAGAATACGTGCAAAATAATGTCGATATATATTCCTTAAATTTTGGAGAAAATGTTCAATGGGCAAAATCTACAACTGATAACGGTTTTCCTCATGATATAGACCATGTTGCTAACAAGAAGGAATCAGTGTCTCCTAATGGTTTTTCGGACATAAGAGTTCCGTTATATTTCACTGTACCAGGTGGTGGTGCTGAAGGAGAGCACAGGTGGATTGCTAAGCTGAATGGCAAGCAGACCAGTACCAATACACCACTAACTGTTACTGTTGAAACATTCAAAGTGGATAAAAATAAGTTTGAGATTGTAGATAGAGTAAAATTTGGTTGCATTGTATTGCGTGTACTGAAGTACACGGATAATGCATTCCCATCAAATGTACAAAAATTGGTGAAATGTTTTGATTACCAAGGAATAAAGTTCAGTGGAACTGGTGGCAACGTTTGGATCTCACTGATGGCAAAAAAGGGCAAGAAGTTGGGTGGATTTATTCAATACAGAGAAACAAGGAACATACAAATAGCCCATGAAGCAGCTTATGGACAGAGTCAAGTTTCAAGAGGGAACTTTAACAATCACTGTGCCCATGGATGTATCCCAGAGTCATGCTGTGACTGCGGTACAGAGAAGATCACTTTTGAATGCCCATGTTTACAATATACCTATGAATTGGATCCTGATGACGTTGATAGGGCCTAGAAAGAAGGAGTAGCTATGCTATTGCTGGGTCATGGGTCGTTACGCATGATGTGTGAAGGAACTCTTAATGGTATGCACGCGAATTATGAATGTTGGTTTGGGCAACTCTCTATTCAATTTGAAGACACCTTTGGTGGCAGAGTACAGCTCCAATTTAGCTGGAATGCAGATGGCAAGTGGTCTGAAGTGTGGAAGGTTATTGACGCTAAAGTTGTATATCCTTGAAAATTACGTTAAAAGTCATAACATCTAACTACATGAATTATTAATTTAGGCCATTCTGTTTATCAATTTTGATACACGAGTTATAGATTTAATTTAATTTAGGCCTTTTTCTTTAATAAGTTTGCTACATTAATTATTAATTTAATTTGATTTAGGCCTTCGGTTTTCTTTACTAATTTTGCTAAATGAATTACTAATTTCATTTGATTTAGGCTTTTTGTTTACTACTTTTGCTATTGCAACAATTTTCTTAATAAATTAAATTATTGAATTGCTGACACCATGCATCAGTAAATGCAGTTGTAGAGTTGAATTTGTTGAATAATTCAATTTGTTGACTTGATTTGTGCAATGATCATTGGGGTATTTCTTTCATGCTTCAATCACTTTACTGCACAGGAATCACACACAATGCTGAAAATGAGATCATGAGAGAGAATAGAGAATATTCTTGTTCCCACATGTCTCCATGCGTCCACACCAAATGTCACAAATTTAATTTAGTCAGCCATTTTTGAGGAACTCACAGCTGGCAGAGCAGAATCATATGGCCTTCATGAGGTTTGTTCTCAGCCAGACTTTCTGACTTTTTCCCTTACATGTAAGTTTCACGTACAAGATTTGATGCCGCTGTGAAGGATTGACTATCATATGGAACAGGAAGTTTTGGATAACAGACAGTCTGGGAGCAAACAGATTTTCTTATTGTTTACCTGGAAACATAGCTACATTCAGTGTCTTAAGTACCAAAAAAGCAGCAAAGCACATACAAAAGAGATAAAAAGCCAAGGAAAAAGCACTGGGCCCATGGCCATGTGCTAACGTCTTAATGAGTGGAGTAGAATAGTAAAGGTGTGCTCTGGACATGTTTTATTGTACACACATGGCGCAAGTGGAAACAAATACTTTCACGTTTATTTTTAGAAGATAAAACAAAGTAAAGAGACTTTTTGCTTTATAAAACCATGCTAATCATGGGTAGTTTCTTAGCTATAGATATAATCTGTCATACACCTTGGGTCTCGGTTTCTAGCTATGGGTTTATTTACTGCACCCCTCAGTAAATAAATTCCATAGATACCTTAACTGAGGTGTATAACATATACATAATAATAATAATAATGATAATCTCACAAGATTAGGTGACGTCCTTTGTGGTTTGATACTAGCTAGCACCCTCTGCATTATGAACTCATTCAAATTCCTAGTCGACTCCAAATCATCTCTACAGTAACACAAACAGGTCACATAATTATCACATGATCACTCCCTCTAACCTGGTCAGTTGACACAACAGTCCTTGAACGTCTTTCTGAAGAGTAACGGAACCGGTTCTTAGATTAAACTCCATCAATTCCTCTATGAGGTCCTGTACATAATATACAGAGATATACAAAGATATACTAATAATAAATAAGAGCAAGCAGTACATGCACAGAGTAAAAGAAGGAGAGGGAACACAAAAGACATAAAAGAAACACACATTTACCTTTTTCATAAGTTTCCTTGTCTCTGGTTTAAAAGCCAGAGCCTTTAATACAGTAATGCAGTGCTCTAGTGTTGCAGAAGCACATCCAAAACAATTTCCCTCACTAAGGGGGGCAGCGGAGACCGGGGACGAGAGAGAAAAGGCACTTCCTTCCCCTGATATTGGAGTGAGTGGTGTTGCTGGCTCACTAGTGGGAGAAACCTTCCCTGAATGCAATTTATTGATATCATAAGCAACTAGCTCTCTCCTTGAAGCAAGAACACTCTGAGAAAGAAAGAGAGAGACAAATAGAGATTTTGTAAGTACATTAAAAATAGATATGTGTATGCAATCACATATTGTGATTATGTCACATTGTGTAGTGGGTCTTTCAATTATTAATTTACTTGTATTATTTTGCTGAGGTCAGTGTAAGATGATTTACAACTGTTGCAGTATAAATGAGCTGCCAACTGGATAGCACGATTCACACCACTGTCTGATGAAGACTAGAAAAAATAGAGAGAGAGAGAGAGGAACTGTTAATATGACAAGTCCACAAACTTATAAATTATATCTCAAAAGCTCTTTCTCTTCCCTCCTTTAATTACCTGAGATACCACTGGTTCACTGGCTAGGGATATCAACAGCTGGTCCAGTTCATTTCTGTGTGTCACTAGCTCCTTGTAATATTTATCAGCTCTTTCAAGCAACTGATTAATACTTAACAAAGTCTAGAGAATAAAATATAAAAATGCACATAAAAACACATTATACATGTACATGTACAATACAAGTAAATATGATTGTACAGTGTACATGTACTGAGCACACCATTAATTAAGCTATTTCGTTACTGAGTAATTCTTTCCCTTCTCACCTTCTTTCTATCATCTTCAGTTTCAATTGGGTCAACAGCTGAAGTGGGTCGTCCCTCGACTAATGTCTCAAACCTGGCGTACTTTGAGAACCCACAGGATATGCAGAGGAAAGGGTCTCTCTCGTCATAATTAATAGTACGACACTTCTGACACTGATGAGCGTTCTCACCACAGGCAGCACAGACTCCAGGATGAGCTGGGACTGGAGCATTACAACGAGGACACTGGAGGGACTCAGTACCAAACTAGAGAAAGGAGGAGGAGGAGGAAATACATGTATAACAGTAACATAAGCTATTGTAACTATTTATGCTATATAAACTGTTTATATAGCATAAACTATTGTGCATGTACAGTGTGTAGATGCACATATAGACAGAAACATTGGCAGGGGAACAATATACATGTACATGTAAGATCTAGAACAATAAAAAGTCTAAAAGAAACTGCCAATATAAAATTTCCAATATACAAATGGTACCCTGTGGAGTAGATGTACATTGTACATGTACATAGTAAATACATGTACACATAATAGTAAATATATGTATGTACATGTATGTCATATATACTTGAGTGTTTTCATAAAAATCAGCAAATTCCAGTATTATATTCCTGGCCACTATAGGGAGTGGCAGTTCAAACTTTAACTCAGTCTGTGACTGCTGCAACGTGCAGCTACAAGCCTTCAACCAGAGACTACGACTAGAGGGGAGAGAGAGAGAGAGAGAGAGAGAGAGAGAGAGAGAGAGAGAGAGAGAGAGAGAGAGAGAGAATAATAATTTACCAATAAACAATCATTTACTTGTTTTTAAGTTCAATGACATTCTGTATTGTCCTGTTACTGTAATAAACATTAATAGTACGCATCTAAAAAAAAGATTAATAATTAATCACTAGAAAAATTATTTTCATAACTAGCCATTTTGCTTCTTCTCAGTTCAGTGAGTCTCATCATTAGCTGTGTGATGGTATGAGAGCCATTTAACTTAACAAATATTGTATTAGCACTGTAACGAACATCAGACTTAATAGAAAACAGCTTCATTACCTAACATCACCACAAAAACACCATGGTAACAAATCGTGAATATAATTAACTCACGGTCAGCGGTACTTCAGGATCATTGCACACAAGACAGGGCTCGCTTTCTAAATAATGCCCATCAAAGTCAACGAGCGATACTAGCTGACTGTACACATGGGAGTTGGGGTGGGCGGAGACTAGGACGTTCTGTCGTCGTAGTAACATGATGGCTTGCTCTATCAGGTGCGAGCACATGTTCTCTTTCATTAAAACTTCTTTAGTTGATATAGAGCAATAACCTAATTATAATAATGAGGATTGAGTAGGTAAGTGTCGTGTCTGTTATTTATTATGAACAGTTTGAGTTGAACAATTATTGCATAATTGCAGCTGGTCAGTTGGTACATGTACCAAAAAATACAAATAATTAGAATAATTAAGAAAATTATTAATAAACAACAAGTCGGTGACAATTATAATCACAAACATACAAGAATCCATCTTCATTAAATGTTAATCCATAAGGATAGTCAAACTGATTAATATTACTGCCTCTACTTCCAAAATTCCTAACAAACACACCATCACTAGTGAAGACTGAGATACGAGCATTGCCCGCTTCACTAACATACACTAGACCAGTAGCTGCAGTGTCCATTGTTATACCAACTGGACAACTAAGTTCTCCAGCACCAGATCCGCAAGCACCAAACTGACTCACAGAATTATTATCTGGGAAGAACTTCTGAATGCGATGATTATTAGTATCAGCAACATACACTATTCCTTGACTGTCAATAGCAATGTCACGTGGATACTTAAAATGTCCATTAGCTGATCCTTCACTACCAAATGAATAAGAGAAGGTTAGATCAGGATTCAAGACTTGTACACGATGATTATCACTATCAGCAATATAAACCTGTCCTGTTATAGGAGAAATGGCTATACCAGAAGGAGTATTGAATTGTAGTGGCCCACTGCCCTTCTCACCAACTGATGTTATAAGGTATCCATCCATGCTTATCTTCTGGATCCTGTTACTATCATCAGATACAAGAATGAATTTGTCTGGAGTAATGGCTATACCACGAGGATAAGAAAACTTGACATTAGCATTTCCTCCTTCACTTCCTAATGATTTCACTTTCTTTTCTTCTCTATCCAGTATTGTTACACAGTGACCATCATTCTCAGTTATTATAACATGATTATCATCAGTTATAGCAACTCCCCAGGGACGCTTAAACTCAGTTATAGTACATACTGGAGTGATGTTATTAAGGTAAGGATTGAAAGGAATGATTAGTGAGGTATCCTCAAGGTGTACATCATCTACTTGTACTTTTACTGTATGAGTACCACGTGTTGAAAGATTACACTGTATCCTATACACTCCAGGATCAGTGCTGGTGGTAGTGACTGTAGTGTGAATGGGTTTATGGCCTTTACCAACTGGTACTAGACTACACCTCAGAGAAGAGAGGGGAACACACAAAACAGATGAATCTAATGCCTCCATTGATAATGAAAATGAAACTTTTTTCTCTTCTGGTTGGCGTCCAAAGCATCCAACTTTCTTCACTCTACACTGCTGTAGTGCAGTAGATAAGGAGGTCACAATATCTCCAATGTGATGCAGCAATTTGATATCTTTACTCAATACAAAGTCAGCATTTTCTTTTGGATGTAACTCCTCCACATTGATCCCTCCAGTAGCTTCACTCATACGCTCCATCATCCGTTTCTTAGACCCCAAGACTTTTTGAGGACTGCCTGTCTTCAGACTTTGCTCCACATAATCTTCAACTTCCTCCAGAAGACTCAAACTCATTTTTGCTGATTTCATTTGCTCTGACAGCACCTTTAGTTTAGCATCAGTAACCCTCTTTGCCTGCTCAGTCAGTTTTCTCTCTGACTGACAAAGAACATTAATCATTTCCTTTACCATTTTATGTATTTCTTCTAAGACTCCTTCTCCTCTATCTCTGATCTCACCCTCTCTCTCTGCTAGAGCAGACAGGACCTTCTTGAGTGCTTCCTTCTTTCCCTCAACTGGTGATAGACATTCTCTTAACTTTTGACAGTGTTTAGTATAACTGTCAGTGATTAAGTCATATTCATGACGTTTGTGATTTCGAACTGAGCAGTGAGAACAAATTACTGTATCACATGTTTCACAAAAGAACTCCAAAGGTTTTCCATGATCGCTACATGTGGCCTCTTGAGGGCTTGATAAATCTGCTGTCTTCTTTGTTAGACTATACATTTCTTTAAGGTCATTGAGGTGGAATGCTACAGGAAAGGCTCCTACTCCTTCATCTGGTAACTCTGTACAATGACGACAAGTGGGACAAAAGAGGCAATAGGTCTCATTCTTCTTATCCAGAGGTAATCCCTCCAGACAGTGCTGACAGAATGAATGTAGACAAGGTAAAGTCTTAGGGTTGGTATAGTGGTCAAGACACACAGGGCAGGTGAGTCGCTCCTCCAGTTTGAATCTGAGACCAGAAGATGGTTTGGTTGCCATTAAAAAAAATAGAATTACGTAAGTGAAGAGAATGAAAAGAGATAAAAGTAGAAGATGGTAAATGAAGACAGAGCAAGTTGGAATGAACAAGAGTACAACCTAGGGGAAGTTAGCCCCAATAATCTCTTGATGACACGATGAAACAACAAAACAAAATGAAGAAGGTGGAAGGAGGAGAAAAAGACTAAAAGTCAGCTAAACACAAAAAGTGGGCGATACCTTAAATATATTTAAAAATCTTGTGACTAAAGTAGTTATGATAATACATAATGAATCCTGGCTTTACCATAGCAACCAGTAGGAAAGTGAATTCATCAATTTCAAAAAACAGACAACACCTCAGGTGTAAGGTCATGTAGCTTATATAATGTATGTCCACTGTCTCTCCTTAAAATATAGAGTACATACCATGCATGTATATAAAATTACAGTTATCCTAACTAAAAGAGCTTGCACTTTGAAGGATAAACTCTTGTCAAGCATCTGAAGTTTATAGGGCTAAGCTGCTCTTCCTAAGGACAAGCGCTTGGTGTAAAGTCAAAAGGTTAGTGATTTTTAGGCAATCATATTTTCAAAAAAAATTCCAGTAAACACGTTATTTTTTTCAGATAAAGTTTCTATGACTCTCCCTATTACTTGAAGCACAAAAATTTCTCAGGGAGAATCTGGCAAAATTATGGCTTTTAGTGCCTTCCACTGCCATTTATACTTGATAAAGTAGTAGAAAGCAACTTTCTCTAGCCTGTGGAGGAGTTCTATGATGACCATAGGGGAAACCCCTTTTAACACCACAAAACCACAATTGACTACATAGTCTTCGCCCACGCTAATTACTAGCAAGGCCAATAATAGTAATAATAATAGTAATAATAATAATAACATTAATTCACCTAATATGTCTACAAACTGTGATGCCTTCTGTCCATACTGAGGGATGAGGGGCCACAACTTCCATAGCAACTGAACCAAATGAACCTGCTTGTCTGAAGGAACATACCTAAAAAATACATAATAAAGAATATATATGTACATGTAGACGTACATGTACATGTACATGTAGTGTAGATATGTACATGTAAAATCCATCAATTACTGTAGGTATAATTGTAGGGTATTATTGTATACATGTACATGTACACAGTGATAATAATTTTAATAGTAATTAATTTTCCACCCACACATATAATTAAAAAAATTAACAATTAATAACACATAATTAACAATAAAAACTCACTTATAGAGTGTGTGTATCAGTGAGTGTGTCTGCCAGCGTATATTCGACTGGTTGCTTTGTAGCAAATAACGAGTGACAAATTGTTCAAATCTTTCATCATCAATACACTCCATCATCAGTTGACAAATGCTCCTACATAACTCAAGGTTTACTGTTCCACTGGGAGGAGCTGCTGGAGGCTTAGAGGCTGGTTTAGTGTCCTTCCTTTTAGCCTTGTCTTTAGAACCAGGCTTTGTAGTTGAATCATCTTTTTTATTAGTGGAAGAGGACACTGAAGGATGGACACCGGAGAGAGCTGAGAATAATAATTGTAATAGTGTCATTGATAGTCCTTCATCAACTGATAGACTGATGGTGAATAATGTAGGGAGAGTTTCTAGGGGAAAAGAATGAGAGAATGCAATTACAATTTATAATACACATAACACTTCAATGTAAAATGCCTTTACATGTACTTGTACAAATTTGAATATTAAAAGTTAGGAAATGTTCAAATAGCAGTATTTATGCCACACATTGAAACTTATGTTAATAGAATGGAGCTTCTATGTTGTATTGCAATTTGATACCTTTCCTGTCCATACAGAACAGCTGCCAGTTGCTGGTTCTTGTTTTAGCAATTTCATCACATAACCTTAACTGCTCAATCTAATGGACACAAAAACAATTGGTATAAACTATAGCTGTCATATCTCCTCCCTCCCTCTCTCTCTCCCCCTCCCTCTCTCTCTCTCCCTCCCTCTCTCCCTCTCTCTCTCCCCTCACCAGTTTCAATAGAGTAGGATATGTAGAATGAAGTAATGAACAAGTTGGATCACTCACATCATACCTCACACCAGCACAAATATCACTACATTAATAATAATAATAATAATACATGTCATGTGATAGTCACCTGATCTCTCTCATGTAGCTCCTCAGTCCGTACTTATCACGAATGAGTCTGTAGTTATCCTTAGATCCACACACGTATATCAATACTTTACGAATCTGCTTCTTATTAGTACCAGTGAGGTGAGAGGTGGCCATGAAATACTGAGAAGAGAGAAGGAAAAAAGAAAGGAAATTCAGGAGATCCTTTTTTTCTATTTTTTACTTCACAAAGTGTTTCCATCCATTCAGTATTAAACTCAACACTTAAAGCTGACGATGTAGACTTCTCACAAAACTTCTTCAACTAACAAAAATAAAAACAACAACAACAACAATAAACAAAATTAATAAACAAAATAAAAGGTACCTGACAAGGCAGAGCTAATACAATGTCTGCCAGCAGTACAGGATAACACTCAAAGACATCACTGGAATGATACTTGACATACTGATGCTGAAAGAACGGGCTATAGTCCAAGACTGAGGATTGAGGATGAGGCTTCAATAGATCAGAACTAGTAGAGGAAGACTAGAAAGAGAGAGAGGGGGGAGAGAAAGAGGGAGGAGGGGAGAGGGAGGGAGGAAGGAAAGGAGAAAGAGAGAGAATCAGATTACAATGATTTTTTTATACAGGAGAGTTTAAGGTTAACAATAGTAACTTCAATTACATGTATTTCTTACTTCTTCAACTTTAAACTTATTCTTATCTTTCAAAAGTCCTTTAAGCACATTGAGACAGTAGGACATACAGTTCCACGAGAGAAGGTGCTTAGCAGTGTAGTTCCATAACCTATTAGCAGAAGAAGAACCCTGCAAGAGGAAAAGAAAGAGAGAAGTAAAAAATTTAAAAGTACATGAACTGTTGGTCAACATAAAAATTGAAAATATAAATACAAGTACATCAAGGGCAATTTTTGGAAAAAAGCATAATAATAATAATACATATACAGTGTACGACCGACTCCAAATTTTGTACAACCCACTCCAAATTTGCTCAAAAAAATTTGTGCTTGGAATATCAGCTCAAACTTTCTACATGTACATACATGTACATGTACATTGTACATGTACATGTAATAGTAGAATTTGAGAAACAATTTTCATTGTACTGCACACACAAATGCAATAAAGGAACAAAAGTAAATCAAAAACAAGTACATGTACATGCAGCAGACCTCATTCTTATCTGCTCTGATTCTCTTCCTGCTCATTATTATGTTCAAGAATCGGAGCATCAGTAAAGATCCTTCAGAGGACGGGGACCTCTCTATCAGGACCGAGACCTCCTGTCTCTCTAGCAGTTTCAAAATGGCCGACAGCAGGGAGCTAAAAGCTTTATTGTCCTTAGAATCACCTTCAAGATAACCACAGAGGAACACAATAACCTAAAAAATAAAAATAATATACCGTATAACGCTTTAATTTGGCGGAGTTTTATTTTGGCGATTGGCGGTTTGCAAGCAGGATTGCCAATATTAAAACCGCCAATCATTAATGCGCATGCTCAGTAATACACGTGTACACAAAAATCACCAAATTAAAAACTGCCAATTACAATTTTACAGCAAAATCGTCAAAATAAAGAGTTATACGGTATTAATTATTTTTGTTACAATTATTTTTTTCGCTGTTAATTTCGCACACTATTTTTAGCAATTTGGTTAGGATTTTTAAAATTATTACTAAATTAAACTGATGCAATGTTAGTAACGTCATTTATTATCAACTAAAATTAAAGAGAAATTCTAAAATTAGTGCAGTATATAAATGTAGAGCCAATTCATTCTATGAATATTACCTGCATGTACGGTAATCCTCTGACTCCTCCCACTTTCTCCACGACCTCCAAATGTTCAGAGAGTGCTGTTAACAGCCTCAGTCTCAGTCTATGGTCCTTTGATAATACTCTGGTCTCTTCGGAGGGTTTGGTTTCTTTAGGGGTGTCACCTCCGGTTGACTCCTCCCTCTCGTCATTGACCACACCCTCACTGACCAACTTATCTTCATAGATATCAAGGAAACTGGAATCCTCTGAGAATAGAGTTGTATGGTTATGCATGTGTACATGAAAATACAATATTAAATATGTACATGTACATGTACATGTATCCATTTTCTTAATTTTTTCCACATTAAATTTTATCTACAAGGATGACATGAACAAGCACAGAATATGTACATATGTTTATAAATTGTATTTTAATAAAGCCAAATTTAATAGTGTTGCACTACTATACATGTACATGTACATGTATATCTTCACCACCTTGTACATGTACATCTACAGTACTTCACACTTCACCAAAATACAATACATGTACATGTACATGTACAGTGTATACCTGCATCTTCTTCTCCACTGCTGTCATTTTGATTGTCAGCCTCAGAATTAACATCCTGAGCACTCCCATCAACCTTATCCTTGGGCTCAGTCCTCTGTCCACTGCTAGGAAGCATGGGGACATTAAGAATAGGAACAGTCTGCACTTGGGGCCCTCCCTCTCCTGCTAGGTCCTCATACGAGGAGTTGAGAGAATCAATTATCATTCCAGGATGGAGGACATCTCCTAGTCGTACTCTCTCAATGGTCCCCTCTTCCTCCTCTTCTTCTTCCTCCTCTTCCTCTCCCTCCTCGTCATTGACCTGTTCAACCTGTACCTGGAGGATAGGGGACATGGAGCGGTCGGGGACATTGATGTTTTGTAAGGCGTCTTGAATGACCTGGGCTGCAGCACCTTCATTACTCTAAGAGGAGAGAGAGAGAGGGAGGGAGAAAGAGAGAGAGGGAGGGAGAGGGGGGAGAAAGAAAGAGTATATGTACATTGTACATAGACAGTATAAGTAAATACATATCATGTACATGAACATGCTATTGTGATATTAAATTATGCATTTAAATCTTTTTTCTCCCTCCATCTTTTAAAAGAGTACCTCATCATGTAGACTGATTGCAATAGCAAAGTTCATCATAGCTTCTTCATCAGGCATTATACCTAACAGGTTAGGATCTAAGAGAGAGTTAAGGGGGTAGAAAAAATGATACAGCTACCAATTAATAATTAAAATGCTTACTGGCCATTATTTGTTGCACTGCTGCTTGAGGATTAGATAGAACAGCCTATAAATAGTAACAAAGCATTTATCATATGATACTAAAAATAGTAACGAGTGTTACATGTAATTGATATTAAATGTGTCATCGTTGGGTGATACTGAGAGAATATGTATAATTCAACCAGTGACCTAATACAATGATACCAGTATCAGCTTGTATTGACTCATAATAATACAATAATAGTTAATATGAGCTTCGAACAAGCTACATGTATATGCATGTACAGTGATCATATTTTACACCTACACGTATGGTCAATATGCACCAAAAAATGTAATAAATATTGGGGCCAATTTCAGAAAAACCATGGGCTATAATACAGGTATTTTTCAAAAAATGCCCAAATTCTTTAGATGGCTATAACTTGAAAATTTTCAGTTGGAATCAGCTCAAACTTTCTACATAGCATAAGGACATCAATATGTATCAAAAAATGTAATAAAAATTTGGGGTGATTTCGGAGCCATTTTTTGGAAAAAACCATGGGCTATAGCCTTGGGTATTTTTCAGATTTTGGCTCATTTTTTAAAATGGCCGTAACTCAAAAAATTGAAGCAGGAGTCAGCTCAAACTTTCTACACAGCATAAGTACATCAATATGTATCAGAAAATGTAATAAAAATTTTGGGTAATTTTGGAGCCATTTTTTGGAAAAAACATGGGCTATAGTACAGGGATTTTTCAAAATCAAAATTTGGCCAATTCATAAAAATGGCCATAACTTTAAAAATCTAAGTCGGAATCAACTCAAACTTTCTACATAGCATAAGGACATCAATATGTATCAGAAAATGCAATAAAAATTTTGAATGATTTTGGAGCCATTTTTTAGAAAAAACCATGGACTATATATAGTACAGGGATTTTTCAAAAACTGGCCGATTCATAAAAATGGCCATAACTTTAAAATTCTAAGTTGGAATCAGCTAAAACTTTCTACATAGTATAAGGACATCAATATGTATCAGGAAATGTAATAAAAATTGGGCATAATTTCAGAGCCATTTTTTGGAAAAAACCATGGGCTATAGTACAGGGATTTTTTCAAAAATTGGCTTGTTTTTAAAAATGGCCATAACTTTAAAAATCTAAGTCGGAATCAACTCAAACTTTCTACATAGCATAAGGACATGTATATACATGTATGTGTACAGTATGTCACTCCTCATAGTGCTAATACGTAATTCAAGGCACATGTATGTACAATGGTATATACATGTACATGTGGACTTACTTGAAGGTTAGGTACTGAAGGCTGAGCAAGAGCTACTACTTGTTCCTGGTGTTCTTGATTGGCAAGAGGAGCAGTGGGAGGAGGCATCACTAGCTCAGCCTCCAGACTTTGTTCTCTAGTGCTTGGACTCTCTCCTTCTTTAGTCTCTCCTTCGTCATTCTTATCCTCTTCTGTTGGCTTTGGTGGATGTGGCTTCAAGAGCTTTATGAGTATTTTAACACAAGAAGAACTGATTTGAGGATCCTAATAATAATAATAATAATAATAATAATAATAATAATAATAATAATAATAATAATAATAATAATAATAAAAATAATAATAATGCTAGTTACTTTCTATAATAATAATAAGAAAAAATAAAACAAAAACCAATGCTAAAATAATCAATAAACAATAATACTAAACAATATAATACTAATAATACTATCTTACCATAGATGTCAATAGCTTTATAA